ACATGAAAAGATGCTCCGTGCATTATACATTAGGAAAATGCAAATTAAAACCACAACAAAATAGCACATTTCACCCATTAGAATGGCTGAAATAAATGACAGACAATAGCAAATATTGGTGAGGCCAAGAGAAATGGAAATACTCATGCATTGCTGGTGAAAATATAACGTGTAGCAGCCACTTTGGAAAAGAGTTTGGGAGGTTCTCAAGAGGTTAAACATAAAAATACCATATGACCAGAAATTCTACTCCTAGGAATATACACAAAAGAATTGAAAATATGTTTACACAAAACTTGCATTTGGATATCCACAGATGTTCATAGCAAGATTATTTATGATAGCCCAAGAACCTACATGCTCATCAGCTGGTGAATGGATTGACAAAATGAGGTGTGTCCTACATGGAATAATGTTCAGTGGTGAAAATGAAGGATTTATGGACACTTGCTAAAGTAGATGGAGCTTCCCAGGTGGTGCTAGTGGTAAAATACCCACCTGCCAATGCAACTAACCTCAGAGACACGGATGTGATCCCTGGGTCAGGAAGATCCCCTGCAGGAGGGCATGGTAACCTACTCCAATATTCTTGCCTGGAAAATCCCATGGACAGAGGATCCTGGAGGGCTGCAGTCCATAGGGTTGCAAAAAGTCGACACGACTGAAGCGACTTAGCATGCCCACACCCTAGGGTAGATGACCTCAAACAGTAAGTTAAATGAAAGACAGCACATTGTGCATAGGTTCTTTGCAGGCAATGTCTCAAAAAGCAAATTTAACCAGAACGTAGACTGGTGTTTGCCAGGAGGTAGGGCGGGGTAAGTGGATCACGATTAGCTGTAAATGGGCAAAACAGATCTTACTGGAGAGAAGTGTTCTAATATGAATTTACTGTGTTAATTGCACCACCAGGTAAAACTAGTGAAAATCAGTGCACTTTACATAGATGAATTTTATAACATGTAAAAGATGTTTCAATAAAATTGTTAAAAAATAACAAAACAAATAAAAAGAAAAATCCAAGTGATCAGTCAGTTTTTCCTCTTAGAATACTGCTTTCGCTACATTTTCAAGAGAGAGGGCTCTGAATAAGCAAATCTGAATAAGGACTCTGCTGCCTGAATAGTCTTCCCACCTTCCCTCCTCGGCTCACGACAGCGCAGATGCTCAAAACAGGGCCCAGCTGGTGGAGCCCAATGTCCCTGGCTTTGCTGCTTGCCTGGGTGAGGACGCTGGCCTCAGCATGTTAGCAACCCTTATTCGCTGGCTCTAATAAATAAATTTTGCCTCCGGCAAAAAGTCTGCAAGTAGTTAATAAGAATAATGAGCAGTAGCAGAGAATTAATGGCCTCTTTATTATGAGAGATGAAGTCCAGTGTTCAGTGTGCTTGAATAGGAAAATTGTTTTATAGGCAAAATTAACTGGAGAGGCCTTATTTAGCCAATTTTAAGGTAATGGGTTTTGGCTTCTAAATGTCAGTAATGCAGAAAGGAAGAGTCCAGGTAAAGTCTGAGTCACTTGCATGGCACTTCCTCAATTTTGAAAGGGAAGATGAAGCATGACTCCTCTGTGGCAGGTGCAAGGGTGACTACCTGCATCTCTTACAAAAGGAAAAGGAAGGAGAGCAGTCTTTCAGGTGTGCATGAGTTCAATTGTGTCTTGCTCCTTATTTCTGTTTTTCTAAGGATGCCAAAACCAACATGGCATCCATGTTATCACCAACTGAGGCCACACTATACTCATTTCAGTGAGAATCTCTTACATAGCTCACTGTGAACATGACTCATGTTCATTGCAATGTGTGTGTCCTGACAACACTGTGCCAGACCCCAGCTGGCCAGGTCCAGAGTGGATCAGATCTGAGATTCCTTGTTAATGGCAGCTCTGGACCCTTGGCTACGGAGGTATCATCAATAGCGGTGTAATGGTCTAGGTGACAGGTATATTGGCACTTGCTCCTTGGAAGGAAAGCTATGACAAACCTAGATAGTGTATTAAAAAGCAGAGTCATCATTTTGCCCACAAAGGTTCAACTAGTCAAAGCTATGGTTTTTCTAGTAGTCGTGTACAAATGTAAGAGTTGGAACATAAAGAAGGCTGAAGGATGAAGAATTGATGCTTTTGAATTGTGATGCTGGAGAAGACTCTTGAGAGTCCCTTGGATGGCAAGGAGATCAAGTCAGTCAATTCTAAAGGAGATCAACCCTGAATGTTCACTGGAAGGAGTGATGCTAAACCTGAAACTTCAATACTTTGGCCACCTGATGTGACTCACTGGAAAAGATGCTGATGCTGGGAAAGATTGAAGGTAAAAAGAGAAGAGGGTGAGATGATTAGATAGCATCAAAACTCAATGGACATGAATTTGAACAAATTCTGGGAGATGGTGAAGGACAGGGAACCCTAGGATGCTACAGTCCATGGGGTCCCAAAGGGCCAGACACAACTTAGTGACTGTACAACAATATAACAGAAAAGCCTTTTTCCTGTCATGTATTTATTTAGAAAGAAATTGAAAGTCGCTCACTCATGTCTGACTCTTTGCGGCCCCATGGACTGTACAGTCCATGGAATTCTCCGGGCCAGAATACCAGAGTGGGTAGCCTTTCCCTTCTTCATGGGATCTTCCCTACCCAGGTCTCCCACTTTACAGGTGGATTCATTACCAGCTGAGCCACAAGGGAAGCCCAAGAATACTGGAGTGAGTAGCCTATCCCTTCTCTAGTGGATCTTCCCAAACCAGGAATTGAACCAGGGTCTCCTGCATTGTGGGCAGATTCCTTACCAGCTGAGCTATCAGGGTAAAAAACAAGCTAACAAAAAACCAAAAATAAACCACAACACAATGACAAAGCTCAGAGCGAAAGTTGTTGAAACGGTGGTAAGTGATTTCCGAGTACTAGTGTCAGATTGCTAAAGCTGGCCGGGCAAGGCTGGGACCAATATACATAGAAAGAAGGGTCACCAAAAGAAAGGGGTTCATGATAAACTGGCCTCACTCTATCCCTTAAAACTGTCGTTATTCAGGCAATATTCACATCCACGTCATAGGACAGGTCTTGTTGAAGAACTGAGGCAAGTTTTAATACCTGCAGTACTTTAAAAACTTAAAAAAAAAAATGTTTTCATACCATCAACTTACATTTTTACTTCTTTGAAAATAATATGAGGGCCTCCCTGGTGGTTCAGTAGTTGGGACCCCACGCTTCCAGGGCAGAAGGTGTGGGTTTGATCCCTGGTTGGGCAACTAGGATCCCACATGCCTTGCAGCACAGTCAAAATTTAAAAAAAAAAAAAAAGAAAACTATGATAATGTGCCAGGCACTGTGATGAGCTTGGCAGGGGAGAGAAGATGCTAAGACAACCCTCTTAGGTCTCAGAGTTTTCAGGGGTGAAGGAGAGGTATGCAGGGGTCTCAAGGGAGAATATGTAAAATGCCTTCTGAAAGGTTAAAGAGGTGGGAGGGTCAGGTAAAGGGAACTTGACAATTCATGAAACAGGTGCGTAAAGACTGCACAGAAGAGGTACTAACTGAAACATGCTTTAAAGAATGGTTAAGGCATGAGACCAAGACATTTTCAGAAGACCACAGCACAAGCAAGTCCCAAAGACAGAAAAGCCAGAAGGCTCTATGGACCAGTTGGAAGCCCAGGTTGATTGACATGCAATATATTTTTTCGGGAGAGCAGGACTACCGGGTCCAATGTGCTATGGAGTATCAGAGACAGTAGACAGAGCAGTTGATCATGATAGTCACTCTGTTGAAGACCTTAGTGTTAAGTAACAGGAATGGACAATAGGATGGTCAATCTGGCAGGCAGGTATGGAATGGGTTTAAATGAGGAGAGCTGAAGGGCAGGGAGTTCGGTTGGAAAGTTATTGGTTCCTCTAAAGTTCTGCTGAAGGGGTTCTACCTGAATTGAAGGGGTTCCTAAATGAGCCTGGAATCCAAAGGATCACTTCAGAAGCTACTGCAATCCAAGCAAAAGATAACAACCTAACTTATGTCAGTTGTGCTAGAAAAGAGAGAACAGAAATGAACATTTTGTAGATAGGATTCTATTACAACTAATGATTCAGTTCCAGCTGCTATTAACAGACACAGATCTATGGCTCAGATCGGGGTCCCTTCCTCACTCTGCATGTCTGTCTGCTTTCCTTTATTCCTCCCTTAAATGTCTCTTACCTTCTAATGTGTTCTTTTCTGAGGGAGAAATGATAGCAAACTTACAACCTTAAATCCTCTTCTCCTTGCCAAAGTCTAGAAAATGCAAATGAAGATTCTTTGGAGCAAGCATTAGGAAAACTGTTTATAACCTTAGGGGCAACCTCAGGCATCCTTCACAACTTCAGTGTCTGGCACCTGGCCTGGGACCAGTAAAGTGTCAATAAATGTTTGCTGAATGAATGAATAAATGAATGAATGAAGACACAGTTTCTTTATGTTGTTGATTAGTCGCTAAAAGCCGTGTCCAACTCTTTGTGACCCCATGGACTGTAGCCTCCAGGCTTCTCTAACTGTGGGGTTTTCCAGGCAAGAATATTGGAGTGGATTGCCATTTTCTTCTCCAAGGGATCTTCCTCACCTGGATATCGAACCTGTGTCTCCTGCTTTGGCCGGCGACTACCTCAGTTCAAATCAAGATGAGTTGATTATAGGAGTTCTATCTTCTTTACAGGGTTCTATTAGGATTGAAATACCTCCCATTTCCCCAGTCTTCTCCTTCTCCAGACTCTCAACACCAACAACAAAGTTTGCTGGGAAGTTTCTATGTCCCAGTCAGTGTAATCAGCAGATGTCTTGATCCCAGTGAATTATGTTTTCATCTACTTCCACAGTTGTCTTTCACATGGCAGAGCTAAACACAGCCAGGGCAAGTCAGCTGAATACTCTTCTCAGTGAAATTTTTAAGAACTAAGGAAATGAATTATCTTGAGCCCCCCCTCACAAAGCTTCCTTCCCTCAAAAAAATTCAGCAATTAAGCATATTTCCCTCAGCCTCAAGACCGCTCCCACTGCATCCCTTGAACTGCCTTTCTTTGGGGACCTGAGAACAATGGAACAAAGCGGCAAAGGATTCTGGGAAGAAAACCGCATGCTGGCATCAAGCCCCAGCGTTTTATAGAACCAAGTGGAAGGTGCCACAGAGGTGAGTGGCTTTGAAGGAAACTCACAGAGATAATCAATTTGATCACACAGGCAGACACTGAAGTATTTGTCAAAATGTCAAGGTTATGGATAGCGCCAATCTATTTGTTTTTCAATGCATTAGTCTTTTTAAAAGCCTGCATCTAATGTGACATTGGACACAGTTTTTCTTGTTTTTTTTTTGTTTTTTCCATCATAGTGTTCTGTTAGGAAATACTGCATGCTAGTTTTCTTTGGGAGCTGAATTTTATACATGGAGATTTCCTGCCATATAGAAAAGAAAGTTATTCGTGTGTGTCTTTAGCGTTTATTTTTGAAAGGTTCGAGAAATACATAATGGTAAGTGACAATCAAGTTCCATTCTTCCTCTGTGATAAACTTAAAAGCCAGCTGAGAGGGGGAATCTTTGGGAGAACTGGAGACTTGGCGCATGACAGAGCCTTGGACCACAGCCCTACCCCACATCAAGCTGCATCCCACACCTCCCATTGATGTTAACCAAGACAGCCTGCTCCTTGTCCGCCTCTTGATGTCCACAGAAAATGACTGAGGTCCAGATCAGCCCACTGGTTTCCATGAGATGTCTGGTTGCCCCCCAAAAGGAGCTTAACCCTGTATTGCAAGGGGTGGCTTCTTTAATGCCCAAAGATCTGCATGGCTGATCACCCTCACTCAGAGATTATTTAATTTAAAATGGGAAAAGTAAAAATATACTCTTACTGAAAAGACACAGTATGCATAAGCTACTGTGGCACTAAAATGATATTTTTAATTAAAAAAAATTTATTTTGTATTGGGGTATACCTGATCACAATGAATATTGTGATAGTTTCAGGTGGACAGAAAAGGAACTCAGCCAGATATATATATATATATATATATATATATATATATATATCCATTCTCCCCTAAACTCCCTGTCCATCCAGGCTGCCGCATAACATTGATCAGAGTACCCTGTGCTACACAGTAGGTCCTTGTATGTTGTGCATTTTAGATGTAGCAGCGTGTACCTGTCCATCCCAAACCCCCTAACTCTCTCTCTTGCCCCCTTTCTTCCACTCTGGAAATCATAAGTTCATTCTCTAAGTCTGTGAGTCTGTTTCTCTTTTGTCGATAGGGTTCATTTGTATCTAAAATGTTATTTTTTTCATATAAGAAATATTAAAGAGGAACAGTCTGTTTTTCCTGTAGTGAAGTATTAGGACAGCAAGAGAAAAAAAACTAAATTCTTTGTAGGATAATTCTTGGAACAGACTGGTCAGCTGTAAAAAACGCTACTTGAGAGACTCCTGTATACACTGGGCTGTTGATTATTTTAGTTTCTGTAGATTTCAAGGAAGATGCCTTGTTTTATTCTGAGGAAAAGTGGTATACTAGGTAGGTAATCTCTCTCCCAGATTTCTGCTCTTTTGTGAATAGAAAGAAAAAAGAGCTTACTTTTTTTCTGGCCCATAATAAAGAATTCTCCCTCCATCTCCCACCTTCTCTGCCCACGTGTAGCTGGATCTGTGTATTCTGCCTTGGAATATTTGCTTTGTGTGACAGATTTAAGGTCTTTTCAGCTAACAACATAAGAATACTTCAGATATGTCACGTGGTTCTTCCAAAATAACTTGGACTTGAGTTTCTGTCCTACTTTCTAATCAGCTGAGAACTTGGGTGGATGTATTTAAAATTCTGAGTCTAATTTTCCTTTTCATGTAGGTAATTATAACAATTAAAACAACAAATATTTTAATAAGTACTGGATACTGTTAGAAGGCTTTATGTGCATCAACCCATTTTATCCACATGAGAACTTCCAGATAGGCATCATGGCTCTACATTATAGATGGGAAAACAGGCCCAGTGAGGTCAGTGAGGATGAATTGAAATAAATGGAAAAGAAAAGGTGATCAGCACTGATCTTGGGGACAGTGCTCAATAAATGTTCTCTCTCCCTCCTTCCTTCATCCTTCTCTTCTTCCTTAACTTCCAAATCCTCAAAAACACTTCTCTACAAGCCTTAAAATCCACCCTAAATATGAAGAATGGAGCATAAGGCACTACTTTCAGAATTCTGTCACTTTTGCTAAAAACATAAAATATGTGATAAAAGTTAAAGGCTGGTCATTTTACGACTGTGCAGTGATTGCCTTGTTCCTACTCTGAGGGTCTAGCCCAGTGTCCTATCTTACCTGAAAAATACAGTGTGTATTTTTTTTCTATAACATATATGGTCTGATATATGAGCATCAGCTGGGGTCAAGAAGCTGGTGGCCGGCCCAGCTCCGTAGCTCTGACTGTGACAGACTCCGGCTTGTTTCTTGGGTACGATGCAACCATTTGGTCTTGGTTTATCCATCTATATAGTGGGATTTATAATAACCTGCATCTGACTCATGGTAAGGTTAAAATTATACACTGGATAGGAAAATAACTAGAAACATCTTTTAACAGAGAGCAACTGACCTCACAATCCTGAAGGAGGAATGTGTTCTCAAGCTGCAGAGTGCCTCTGTATCTGCTGGGGACGGGAAAACGCAGTGATAAAGCCCTTTCACCATTGGCAAGTCTGCTCTGAGCACCAGCCAGTTAGAGTGATGGAGTCAAAGGACATCTCTGGCCACACTTCAAGGGGTCATTTATATACCTCAGTTCAGTCTTCAGTCTCTACTAATCCCACTGGATAAACTGTTAGACAGCCATTGGCTATCGCTGGATTTAGCCCAAAAGGTAGAAACAGGAGATTACCTGGGATTTCTATGGACACTAGTCTTACAGAGTAGTTCTTCTAAAAGGTAGACAGCAGGGTAATGACAGCTGTACCATGCCTATCTTAAACCATGGGATCTTTCTTCTCTCTCTCTCTCCCTTTAGATGGTCTTTTCTGGAGAAAGAGAAAGGGGCTCTAACTGCATAAGCCAGGATACATGCTGAAAAGCCAAGACAAACTTTCTTACTATACTGAGCACAAGAATATTGAGTCAGCTGAGGAAAGAGACAGATGACATTCCACTGTCAAGTTTTCATGGCAGAAATAAGAAGAAAATAGCAATTAGTCTTCCAGATGAGAAAATATAGAGATTCATTCTACTCCACAGGATACAGTTGTTACTGGCTATTCCTTCTTCCTCCCTCTGGTAGTCATGGAGTGGAAGGCTAACACATCAGAAGCCCTCTAATAGCAGATATTTACAAATGTCCTCTCATTTAGGTCAGACAAACCTGGCTTCATTGTGATCACTGTGTTGCTTTTGACACTATGTGCATGGAACTGCATCAAACCACTCAAACTCTTTGCCCAGGTCTCCCTCAGGAGCCTGAGTGCTAGTTTGCAGGACAGTGAGCTGATAGGGTTTGTGTGTGTGTGTGTGTGAAAGTCACTCAGTCATGTCCAACTCTTTGGGACCCCAAGGACTATACAATCCATGGAATTCTCCAGGCCAGAATACTGGAGTAGGTAACCGTTCCCTTCTCCAGAGGATCTTCCCAACCCAGGGATCGAACCCAGGTCTCGAACCCAGGTCTTGTGCATTGCAGGCTGATGCTGACTAAGATCAATGAACAAAGCAAAGCCCTGGAAAGTCTCCTCAGCATTCTTCCCTAGGAATCTAAGAACTATTCATAATAGACTTGTCTTGGCTCTGTTACAACCTTAAGGTAGTTATGCAAATTGGCAACAGATTGAAAGACACTTCGGCACTGGTCAGTAGAATTTTTTAAGGCAATATACATCACTTAGTCATTGTTCTGGCTTTTGTTTAAATGCCATAAAAGAAGCCTCGCCAACATGCCCCAGGTTCATGGACTGAATTCTAAACAATCTGCTTTGACTGCTCCACAATCCACTGTCACATTCGCTCTACTTTTCACCCTACTTTCCTTGAATCTCATGGCTGCCTATCTTCCTATCTAACATTTACTTTCTGTGCTGGTCCTTCCAACTACTCCTTTACCTGTTTTCCTTGGATCTTGCTCACTATTAATCATCTTTCAGGAAGAGTCTTCACTGCTTGGTCTTGTTCTCCAGATGTCCTTGTCTAGATGTAGCTTCTCTGTATCACACTCAAACCCACACACCATCATTTAATTGGACTGGATGATGTGAGAAGGGATCTGAACAAAGCTTATCATCAAATAACAAACATCTTGCATCTCTTATATCCCCAATGCCTCAAGTGGTAAAGAATCCTTATGCAATTCAGGAGACACAGGTTCAATTCTTGGGTCAGGAAGATCTCTGGAGAAGGAAATGGCAACCCACTCCAGTATTCTTGCCTGGGAAATCCCATGGTCAGAGGAGCCTGGCAGGCTACAGTCCATGGGGTTTCAAAGACTTGGACACAACTGAGTGCACACACACACATACACAAAGTACTCTCTCAGCTAGCATGGGATTAGTGAGAATCATAAAATTAGAGCATGGATACTTTTGAAGAGTTGCCAAATAAAATTAGATTGTGGATACTTCTGAAGTTGTGCAAATCTACTAGACAAGGAAATGTCATCCCCCAAGTTTCTTTCATCAGTGAGTTTTTTTTTTTCTTTATAATACTTATGACATAGGATGTCTTCTTTCCATCTACCATCTAGATTTTGAGACAAAAAGCATGGGGGGTGGTGCGCGGGGAAAGAAAAGTAAACTATCCAATACTCAACAACAAAGACCACAAGATAAGAGATGTCCCAGGAGAGAGTGTGATTAATTGCTAACTGAGAAAAAAATCATTGAAGTTGGTGAGTTTAGGAGCGGGGAGGTCACTGTATACTAGAAACCTTCATGACACGGAGATATTGGGAGTAGACTTTTAGCAGAACTTCACTAGAAGACAAAGGTGGGAATTATATCAGAAGGAGAACAAAGACCCTGACACAGGGGGTTAGCTTAGTTGATAGCTGGGAAGTCAATATCTAGCTACCAGTTCCGTAAAGGAAATTTAAGATATTAAGACCAAAGTTAAACTGAATTGACTTATACCTTTGCTTTTTTCATTAAAAAATAAAAACCCAAATCAAACAAAAATCCCTAGAAAATCTTTTAGAATCTAAGAACTGAAGTCTTATTTTAAGCTCTTCCAAGGCATAAGAAATCATTGTTTGGGGCTTCCTCAGTGGTCTGGTGGTTAAGACTCCATACTTCCACTGCAAGCAGCACAGGTGAACTACCATTCCACAGGGTCCACAGAGCAGTAAAAAAATAAAAAAAATCACTGGTCATGCCAATGGCCTTTGGAATGACTTAAGTTTTTATTGTATTACCAAGTAAGACTTCACAGAAGAGCAGCAAAGTTTCATCTCCGGAAACAGGGATGCTCCACCCAAGTACCACTGAAATGCAACCTGAATGATGCTCCGTCTGTTCAGGTTTCCCTTCTCTTCCACAGCCCATAACTCTTGATTTCAGTGACTGGATGCCTTTGAAGCCTAACACTGCCTTTGATCCATTCTGACTCATTATTAGCTCAAGTTATTTGATCTCTTACAGGCCATAAATATTCTCATACTGAGATTTCCCAAAGAAACACTTACATAACATGAGCCAGAAGCAGCCCTTCCTAGAAGATGCCTTTGCCCCTGGTCATCTGAGACCCATCTGCCCCTGACTTTGTGCATAAGGTCTTATGAAGATGATCTTGAGCCTTCCATCTACTGGTGTTCATAAAATGGGAACAACTTCAGGCTCGAGGTGGTGATGCCTTTAGCCTGTTGTTTAGTCACTAAGTCATGTCTGACTCTTTGGGACCCCCTGTAGCCTACCAGGCTGTCTGTGGGTTCTCTAGACAAGAATACTATAGTGGGTTACCATGCCTTCCTCCAGGGGATCTTCCTGACTCAGAGATTGGACCTGCATTTCCTGCATTGACAGGTGGATTCTTTACCAGTGAACCATCAAGGAAGCCCCATGTTTTTAGTAGTCGAGCACATTTAAGTTCTCCTGCTTTTAAAGGCAGAATTTGTGTGGCTGATAGATCTGGGAGACACTCTACTCACCAGCCTTTAAAAGCAGTGGGGTTTAACAATCTAGGCAGTACAATGTGTAATGCAAATAAGACTAAGTACAGCTGTGATAAATGTGTCTTATCCAGGGTAGTGCCAGCAACATGATCTGAACTCACAAATCCCGCTCTTGGGTTGCAATGTAAATTCACAGGGATGTCTTATCAGCAGCAAAGGGCAGCGGGAACCTGTGAAGGAGGGGCTTGTCTCTAAATCTTGGCAAAGGTAAATAAATATCTTCAAAATCTAGATGATCATCCTTTCAGAAGGCGGCCCTCGGGGACAGATTTATTCACCCAGCACCGAAAGCCACCAGGACTGATGAAACCCCAATCTGCAACCATTTGTCACAAGTCAGGGAAACCGTGGAGTAGTGTTGTCCCTTAGATTTCCAAGAGAACATCATTTTATTCTTTCAGTCTTTTTCTAAAATTAATTTATTTTAATTGGAGGATAATTGCTCTACAATACTGTAATGGTATTGTACAAAACACAAAATGGTATTTTGCCATACATCAATATGAATGGGCCGTAGGTATACACGGGTCCCCTCCTTCCTGAATACCCTTCCCACCTCCCTCCCCACTCCATCCCTCCAGGCTGGCACAGAGCACTGACTTTGGATGCCCTGCATCATACATCAGACTCCCGCCGGCTATCTAGTTTACATATGTGCTGGGCTTAGTCATTCAGTCATGTCCGACTCTTTGCAACCCCGTGGACGGTAGCCTGCCATGCCCCTCTGTCCCTGGATTCTCCAGGCAAGAATACTGAAGTGGGTTGCCAGGACCTACTCCAGGGAATCTTCCCAACCCAGGAAACACAGAGCATCCAGCTAAGCTCCCTGTGCTATATAGCAGCTTCCCACTAGCTATTTGTTTTACATTATGGTAGTGTGTATATGTCAATGCTACTCTTTTATTCTTTCATATAAAATTGAATCATTATACTTCTATCTTAAAGCATTATATCAGGGGGAGAAAAAGCCTTCATCATAAGCTGGAAAGCTCATGCAAGTGTCAAGGTCTGCCTGGGTGAATGAAGAGCTCCTACCTATGGCTTTTCTGCTTTTTGGCAAGAAACAATGGATACAAGAAAGAGACAATTGAATTTTATGTTTACAAATTTCTGTCATAATATTCATATCAAATACAATTAGAATAACACAACTTTAATTTTATATTCCACTTTGTAACTTGCAAATTGTTTTGTGTGTACTAGTGAGACACTCCTAATAGGAGGATGGTCTTTATTATGTGCATTTTGCAGATAAGGAAATTACGGGGAGAGAAGAACAGAAGTGGGCAAGGTTAGAGGGTGAGTAAATATTAATAATCGACCTGCCTGAACTGCCAGATCACAAATGTTCCCAAGAGATATTCTGCTCTGCTTACTCTCCTACATTCTTATTTATTCATATTTTTGGTTGCACTGAATCTCTGTTGCTTTTGGGCAGGCTTTCTCTAGTTGCGGTGAGTGGGGGCTACTCTTTGTTGCTGTATGTTGACTTATTGCAGTGGCTTCTTCTGCTGTGGAGCTTGAACTCTAGGGTGCACAAGCTTAGTTGCTCTATGGCATGTGGGATCCTCCCGCACAAGGGGTCGAATCCATGTTCCCCTGCATTGGAAGGCAGATTCTTAACCACCGGACCACCAGGGAAGTCCCTCCCATACTTTTACAGGGGCTTCAGAATCTCCTGGATACCCAAGGAACACTGGAGAAAGAACGAGATAACAAGAAAAAAACGTTGCTACTGTGCAAACTTCTAAAACTCCAAGGAGCAATTTGCTTTGAATAGTAAGAATAGTTACAATGCTGATTTTTAGGAATAAAGAGACCTCAAACCTAGCCAAAGGAAAATCACACTTACCTTGATGAAGACACTGTGTGCTTTTTTGATGCACTTCTCACCGTTGAAAATTTAGACTTAATTGTGTGTGATCATTTAATTAAGTCTTCTCTCACCAGCCTGAAACTTCCATTAAAACAGAAATTTTATTTGCTCTTCTGCTCACCATTTTATCCCCTGTCTAGCACAGTGTCTGGC